ATTAGTCTTTTTTATTTTTCACAAAAGACAAAATCTTTAAAAATGTTTGACATGGAATAGTGAAGAAAGAAAAATTAGATTACTGCGCTGACATAAGACATAAAAATACTTTGTGAGGCCACCGTGAACTTTGGCTACCGCTTGAAGGTTTTACCAACTTTCCCAAACATTCCCTGAGGTGCTCTTGAAATATTGCTTTCACAAGAATGGCACAGAAGGACAGATGGATGGAGGACGGACAACCTGAAAACATAATGCCTCTGGCAGTTGCCCGCCAGAGGCATGAAAAACATCCAAAACCAGGGAAGACAAAATATCGGAAGAAAAACATAAGCAGATACATTTATACATCCATACAAACAAACTAATGTATACATCAATATTGCCCAAGTGTATATTAGAAACAGTGTTGCATCAAATGTTTACAGCTCTAAAACCAGGGACCCTGCAGGAAACTACCTGTCTCTGCCAGGTTTCTCATAATTTCTCACTTCACCCTTTGAAAACATTGATCGTGCCACATCCGTGCCACCATGATTATAATTACATTTGACAAGAGAGGTTACATTAAGTCTCTTGTACCTGTATTACCAAAGACATACTGCGTCTATCTCGAATGTTATTACAGCAGTTGTTGAGAATTTCCAGTCCAGCGTTAATTTTGGAGTCGTCAAAGTGACAGCGCTGAGCTTGGGAATCCTTTCAGGCTCATTACCATAGTCCACAGAATCTATTGGCAGGGCCCCCGCATGACTGGGCAGACGATGCTCCTGCCTGGTTGTCAGATAGAGTCAATGATCTGGGGGGTTAACAGATGATGCTCAGTCTTTGGGGTCACATCCACTGTATTCCCACCATTGGAACTGCAGACAGGGCAGAGTGAGCACAAACAAGCACAGACAGGCAGTTTTGGAAACCAGGAAAACAGGGGCAGCTGAGAGAAACGTTTCCTCCCTATGCTTTAAGTTGTACCCAACAAATCCATGAAGCAGTTTGTGAAATTCATAATTTTGAGTCAAAGGTCAGGTGGAGCTTGATAATACCCCCGCCCCCATCTTCCTTTTTCTCAGAAAGCTTTGAAATACTGTTGACTGCACAGTTGACTTGCTCTGAGGGAGCTCTTTTCCAATGTTAATGAGGAGCTCGCAATTAACTGGGCTCTAGCAGGAGGAAGTGCAAAACAAAAAAAGGGGGTGGAGGTGGTCTCCGAGGGGGAGTTCAATACAAAACCGCAAGCTGCACTGAAATATTTATGCTTAGCATGGGCAATTTAAGAAGAAAATTGATATATGTAGGGAAATTGGGTCCCTGAATTGGCAAAAAGCGATGATGTAGAGTGGATGTGAGTATTTATTCATTTTAGGCCTTGAAAATAAATGATTACATAAGCACAGTATTTGCATTTTTGTAAGGACCTGCATTCTAAATGAAATAAAAACCTAAAAAGAACATACAGACAAGAGGTTTCTTTTCCCCTGCCGAAAACTGACAAAGCTTCAAAAACATTCACCAATGTGTATTTAAATAATATTGACGCTGAAAAATCCAATATCAGTTTTCAAGCAAGTGAAAATACAAGAAAACAGTTATTTTAGTAAAATCAGCATTGTGTTTCTTCGAATATTCTCCAAAATCACAGGTTCTAGCAATCATAAAAAAAAGAAACTCTTAGACAGAATCAGTGCTGTTACAGATTCACAATCTTCAGTAGACAAAACGCACAATAGCACTTGCTGTTGTGTTCTCTATGATCAGAGTTCTCTGAGTGATTACTACAATTTTATGATTAAAACTGTTTGTAGCACTGCTGTGGCAATGACGCACGTTTTCCTGACAAACAAGTTTAAAATCCGCCAAAACCTAAAAATCCACAAAGAGGAACGATCAGCTGAGGACTGAGTTGCATCAGAAGAGAAATGGTCCCCAGATCTCTCCTCCCCTCAAACAGCTGAAGTCGCAGCGGCACACAGTCTAATGCAAGACAGATAGCGGTAAATAACAGAGAGCGGTGAACAGATTTCAGGACAGTCCTCTAATTGGAAGTGTTGGCTGAAAGGGGTCACGGCTGTGCACTGCCAATGTAATGCACGTTGATTAGCCCTGCATGCATTTGTGAGTCCTGTAACTGTGATACTGTTGTTGTCTGTGACTGTAATGTGGACTGTAATTTGTGGGTTATAATGCTGCGTGGGCAGGGACTCATTGATAGCATTTGGCACACAGCCTTTGCTCGGATGAGGCACTTAGCCGAGCCAGTCAATCTAAATATCAGATCGCGCTGTGACTCAGTAGGAGTGTGTTTGTTCTCCTGAACACGCCACGTAATAATCAGGCAGTCCTTAGCCATCTAATGAACAGTCATCATAAGATGTTTTACATAATACTGCCATATAAGATTACCTTAATGCTTGTACGGCCTAGCCACTGATGTGTGCCTCATTACCTTGGGACATTGGTCATTTCATTTCAAGAGTCTGATTTTCATTAACTGCTCAGCCCCCCTACCCATTAGCAGAATGAAAGCTCGGCTGCAACCATCTGGCTGCCAACTAGACCTCAGGGCTGCTTTATGGCTCCGCTGAGCTTCACTAAAGGGAAAGTTGTACTATTAAAGCGTTTTTTTTCCAGCGTCAGGCCGGAGGGAGCACGGGAGTGATGCAAGGAAAGTGTCCCATGCTCGGGGACAGAGAAATGAATTTAGAACATATTGATAGAAGAGACGGAGAGAGGCAAAGTGAGACAAAGTCAAATAGAATCTGCAAAAAAGTTAACATGAAAAAGAGGAAAGGAGACAGAGAGGATAAAGGAGATCAAAATGAATGTGTGTGATGACAATGAGAGAGAAATTCCTGAAATAAAATATCTGTTATTCCAGGCAGGAAGTTTCAGGCCCAAAGGTGCGAAAGAAAAGTGAGAAATTCATCCATGGATTGATGATAACAAATCCCACATGGCTTACGGTTTAGTACTGCATGTGCAGAACTCAGGTGCACAATTCCACTGCTTCCACTATTTTATTTTTAGAATGAGTGGTCCTGTTCTGAAATAGTATGTGCTTACATATACTATTCCAGTGTTTTTTTATTTTTTTTATCATGTTTCACATCCCTCATCTCTATTCTTTACCTCTAATTACATTTGTTTTGATGATTTTTTTATGCTCTGTCTTGCAAAAACAGACGTGTCTGTGAGCACACGTCAACCTGATGTATCGTCCTCCATGCAGGTGACAAGAGTGCAACACAGCAGCATAGACAATTCTCTGTAGACTGTCGACCATTTGGGAATTTTATAGCCTGTGCACCACTTATGTTGAAATTACTAAGTGGATGAAAAGAATGTCTGTACACAGCAATTATTTTACTGGCTATATTAAGCCACCTTTGATATAACAGACTAATATGACCCAGATAACTAAAGGAAGTATAATGATAAGCACAGTAGGCAATACTTTTTTGATTATGCCAATGTCATAAGGGGCGAGAATGTTTATACAAAATTATCTGACGAGTTATATCTGAATAATTACTTCTGTCAGACTGGATGAGGAGATTTTTAATTAATTAAAAGCACAGCACTCTGTGAAGACGACTTTGCTGGCTAAGACACTCTTTGATAATTTACCTTAGTCTGATGAACTCCTCTTACAAGAGCAATGATGTAATATTGATTTTTCAGGAGAAATCACCTTTTCACTTATTAAGGCTGTGCAGGGAGGTCAGAGGTCACAGCAGAGGCCCTTGAAGCTTGTACAAGTTCAGCGCTGGCTTTCTGCTGACACAGGAGACTATACTCCGGTTATCCTCAGCATTTGTGTCTTTCTTTGATACGTTCTTGTCATTTCACCAGCTACTGTGCTTTACTAGTTTTGCTTTTACTTTTTTCCCACTTTATTCATTAAACTTGTCCTTCAAGCACTGGGCAGCCATTACAGTATGTCGCTGGCAAAGGGATAGAGCCCTGCAACATAAAATGAACTTAGAGATAGGACAAAAGACTTGACCTAAGACATCCTGCAACTCAGCTCATGATTATTTCCAGCACCTCAGGCTTCGTCATGCAGACTGGGAATGTGATTTAATAAAAGACACAAAAAAATATATGAGTCAGCTGCTTCCCCGATTTCAATAATGTTCACTCTGGAGATGAAACATTGGATTTCTGTACAGAAGACAGATCATTCAATCTACCGTTCTGTCTTCTTATGTTGATATTAAAAACATGTTTGTCTCCCACGTACAATATCTCAAAGCCTCTGATGGATTACTGTGCTTTATTGTGATAGACCCCTCGCTCACCATTGTGTCCTCTGAGGCCAGAGACAGACTGAGAAGAACTACAATGCCAATAAAACCAATGGATACATCTTAATGATAGTGTTAGTGCTAAGCAACCCACAAATGGGTTGAGATAATAGTTTTCACTTTAAATTCTATCTTTTTTCTCTTCTTTATTTAAAATACCATGCTCAAATTGTTTGGATTCGACTTTTAACAGTTCTTCCTATTACTCCGTAACATTTGTGTTTGCGGTGAATATGTGAATTTCTGTGTCATACTGTATGTTTCACCTTCAGTCCTTTCATGAAAAAAGACATTTCTGTAAAGGGATAGGAGGGAAGAAAACAGTCTGTTGGTGTTTGTTGTGATGAATTAGCACCTCTAGATTCAGGCATTCCTGGATGTATCCACCTCTTCTGTACATCTGACCCTTATAATGCCTGGAAACAGTTCATAAATATGAAAGAAACACGTTAACCAGACGACTGTATATTTTAAATAGAGGGTTTTCCCTCCATCCACGAACTTACAGGGGGCTGTTCCCTGAGCTGACGCTAGGAGCTGTCCGCGGTGCTGAAGCCTCGGCTCCTCTCTCTCCTCTCCATGTGTCGCCAGCTCACAGCGCCAGGAATCCGCTTCACTGAGCGTCCACGTTACAAAGAGACCTCCGCATTTCACTTGATTATCCTCGACTCTTTTCACTCTGCCCATCGTGCAGGAAGTGCGCCAGCAACCCGCGCGGCTCTCTTTCTATTATACAGCATTTACAATCCTCGCTTTGCTTGTTTTTCTCCCCTCTCCCCACGTTATTGTTTATTCTTTTTAAGCCCGGGAAGTATATATTTCTTTCTAACACAAAGACGCGGTGTGCGGCTGCACACGCGAAGACCGACCTCGACTTTCGGAGTCATGTGTGGGAGACAAGACTGTCAATTCAAGACCCTACTCGCGGTTTTGGTTCTCGCTGCTGCCGTGGGCAAAACGCATGGGCAAGGTAGGAACTTGGGGTTTTCACGAAGGTACTTTGTGTTTGGATTGTTCCTTCTCTCAAACTGTGCAAGGCGAAGCTACAGAGCTAAGTGTTGGGCAATGACACCAGCTTCACGACTCGGTGTTTGTGGCTGTATGAATAAAACAAGAAATGCTTACAAATCTATATTAAGTCAATCTGATGGTTAGATCTTACAATAAGGTGTAAAAGAGAAACCACAATAAAAGCAAAAGTTGCATGCCACAAAGATATCTCCACATGCACACACATTATGAAATACCACTTTTTTTTCTATAACCACATAGATTCCTCAGATATTAAATTTAGAAGCATGCAGGAGCTAAATAAGAATCGTTCCTCCTTGTGGCTCCACACTGCACACAGAGTATATGACTCGTTAGAAGTTATAGATCCTCACATTTTGTCACTGGATAAAATGTGTTTAACAGTCAGTTACATAATGGTTTAGTGTTGATCACAACTTACAGCACTCTTCAGAGCTGCCCCGAGTGCACGTACACACAAACACACTCACAAACACACATTTAAACACAGATGCAGCTTGAAGACAATCCTGGGGTAAAATAATACTGATATATCCAAGCTCCATATTTTTTTAAATCCACATTCAACCTAATGTGGTCATTTCCCCGGTGCCATTCTTATTTATTTGCTGAAACCCTCAGAGTAAACACTCAGGGAGGATGACTTGTTTGGGCACTGAGGTCTGTGTGACAGACGGTGCTCGGTAATAAGACTCTAATCCTCGGGAATTGCTGAAGATTATTGACCAAGCTGTTTGACACAGTTGAGTGCTTGTGGGAAGCGGCCACGGATCCATGCACAGTAGCCTTGTCCTAATTATTTCTCTATTGTGCCCTCTCTTCATCATCACTATAACTACGCTTTTTTATGATTCGACTTGTCTGCAGAGTTTTACAATCAATGTACAGTTAATAAGAATGTACAGTAAATCTCATTTTGTTAAGATAATGCACATAAACATGAGTCACACCCGGAGGTAGTGTACAGTTTGTCCACTCTGCTGAACATAAGTTATATTTCTATGTAGTATATACGTATATGTATGAGCAGGGTTAAATGATAAATACAAATTATAATTTGCACGTTTGAGAGTTTTTATTCACACACTTGATTTGATCACAAGTAACACACATTATATCACATTTCGTTTGCATGAGGTGGAATCACTCAGTACCAGCCGAATGAATGCCTCTGTACGACCTCTTTCGATGAAGCCTTTTATGAAAGCTTTCCGTTTTTGCATTGAAAATGAACACATTTATGAGAACCGAGTGATTTGTAAACAACACAAGAACTGTGAAAATGAATTGATATCGCTGGGGCAGTGTGAGTCGTTAGTTGACATCTCAGCTGCATCCCAAAAACTACTGTTCGATTCTGTTGGAAAAATTATTTCACACTATCAAAACATCTGCTGCTGGAATACGGTGGTGAAAGAAAGGTGCCACGTTTCACAACCTCAAAGTACAAATGATTTGTTGTATAACCTAAAAGCCCCAAAAGACATTTTACATACTTTAAATGTTTAATTAACTTATTTAAGTCAACACACACTCATGCAGCAGTGAAATATGAAGTAGTGCTTAGTAGGAGGAGATGTGTGATCTTTTATTTTTTAATTCTTGCAGGTTATTTGCACATATCCCAAGAAAACACCTGCATGGTTCAGTCGCAGCTCGAATCTCTAGGGAGAGGAAAAAGAGCGCCGTGCATTTATTTCTTTAGAGGAAATTCTAATTAAGCAGCCCCATTAGTGAATTCTCCGCTGATACTTGGCCAGGAAATGTTCATCTCTTTGTAATCCTCCAAGGTGGGACATTTAAAATTTAAATTCTGATAGTTTTGATGTGTTGCCATAATCACTTTCAGATACATGAGTGAGGGTGAGGGAAGTTTAGGTTTACAAGCGGTCTCACTTGTGGCACAGTCTGTGAATTTGCATCAATTTGCTTCAGTGTCTTACTTAGCGTGGGAACACAAACACCCATTGACTGTATCTCACAGTCATGAGCATGGAAGGAACACAGACGTTTTGCAAGAACTTCGAGAACCGTGCCATTATTTTCCCATGTGCATCGAGCAAACTATTGTGCGAAAAGAAAAACGTCCCTTTCAGTAAATCGTTCTTATTATAATTACAGCTTCAGAGGGTCATCAAAGGTACAAGCAACTGATTGTTCCCTCAACCGTCAGGGTTTTTATTTTGCATTCATGTTGCGTTGTTTCTTACACTTGCTATTTGCAGTGCAAGATCAGGCTGCTTTTGTTACTAGGGATTTCACAATTGAGATTTAACCGCACATCGATTGTGACTCATAAAACACTCATTTCTAAAAGCTGATTATATATTTTCTTATGTGCCATGCAACTGAAGTGTTCAGCATCTGTGAAGATTTTTTTTTTAACAATACCAGTAGGCAGGATTGTTTTATTAAAAATCTCACTTGCTGAATGCTCTGTAGATATTAACTGGGAAAGAATTACAACATTACTGTTGTAAATTTCCTCTTTGTTTTGTGAATTATTATAGATTACATTGGCTTCAAAGTTTTCATGCCTTTTCAGAGTCAGGGAAAAAGTAGATGGATTAAAGATTTATTAAGGAAAACAGTGTGCAAGAAATACAGTATTTAAGACTAAAGGCACAAAGTACAAGTTTATGATGGATAATGTTGTTTTGCAAATGCACTGGTGGAGCCTTTGTTGCATTTTTCCTTCACATTAAAAACAGGAGGTCATTTGGGGAGAGAGAAGGAAAGATCATTAAGTCTGATCAAAACCTCACTGCTCTTTATGTTCGACTTTAACTGCAACAAACAGAACAAGAGAAAAAAAATCAGACCCCTAAATCTGGCTTTTCATGAGGCACCTTTATTTTGTTGTCCCCGACCCTGATGTTTTGTAGAAATGTCAAAGTGACTCAGTGGTGAATGTGTGGTTTCCTTATGTCTACACTTCAGTTTGGGGATCTGTCATCACCCTCATGAAGTGGTAACTATAATAAAACATATTAATTATATTTTGATATAAATGAAATCGGCATTCATTGCATTAAAAATGTAATGTGTTTGTTGTGAGGTATGTGTTGCATGATTAATAAAGATTCCCAGCAACTATGTTTCGAGGATGTGATTTCCAAATTCATTTTTCCTAACAAGTCATTAGCATTAGTGAGAACGCCACAGGCATTTAATTATCTCACTGCAAATCTCTGAGGGACAAAGTGACAAAACTTTTTATGAACATTAACTTGCACAGACAACCTAAAGGCAACAGCTTCAAGTCGTCACAAGCTGTATCAATCAAATTTAGACTCTGCTTTAAGCATGTTATCAGTAGTAGCAGTTACTTTCACAGGAGTCTGGTACATCAGATTCTATCTCAGAAAAACTGGAGGAACATATACTGTATAAATCTTCAGACTCTAAGTCCAAGTTAGTGTACTGAAACTAAAGTACATTCACTTATAATAATTTTTTTACAGCCATGACTCACAACACACTATGTTGTGATGTTTTCAAATTGTCTAATAAAAACCTGACAGATACTTAATGGCTAATCATGTGTCCATCCATCAGGCAAGCCTATCGTCTTTATGCTCAAACATTAGCTTCTGTTTATGTAATGATCTGGGAGTTTATGAATCCAAAATCTCCTCAAGTCTCTGATTTGGATATAGGACCAGGAAGTAGCACTTCCAAAAAGCCAGTTGTTTTACCACAATTAAAGGCCAAGGGGTTACAGGAGTGGCAGATAATCTTGAATGAGCTGAACTGGAGAGATCAGGGCAAGGCAGGGAAGGAGGCCCTGTCTTCAGAACCCCAGGGATTGAGACTGAACCAGGACAAAACCAGATCTGGAGCTCAGGGAAACTGGGATTAATCTTTAACAAAAAATATTGGGGATCAAAGTTTGTCATGACACAAATACGACTGTAACAGATCTAATGATGATAGTGTGTAGGGTCTGGGGCTGTGTCTCAAACCATCCAATGATTCTTACTTCACTATATAGTTATTTCTGTGTAGAGGACTATATACTGAGCTCACCAGCAAAAGAAAAAATGCTTTCAGAGACTTGGTGCATTTGCTTTGTGCCGGTAATCACGTCACTGTCACAGGATTATGACAACAACAACGTTGGCCGGTGGAAAATCCCAAAGTAAATTTCAAGTGTTTATGTGACACTTAGTATTAATACCATAGACTGTATATAAAGATGAAGACTTAAGGTAAAAAACATGTTGGATGAGAATCTTTCATTAAGAAATAAACTAGTTTTATCTCAGTTTGTGCCGTGATGTGCTGCTCTGCCCGCATTTACTTTTCAAAGTCAGGTCAGACTGTTCCTGCTGCCCACACTCCTATCATCTCTCTGCCGCAAGCGCAATGCATGATGGTATATCGGTTGGACACTACTTTTCAAAATGAATTGTGGGAAACAATGAGTGCAATATATAAGGTGTAAAAAATGTCAGTAAGCACTTGGACAGCACTACAAAATGGCTCACTCACTATGTACTGCCCTGTATAGTGATTAGTGAGGGATTTCGGACAGAGTCGGGGTCTTTATACTGTGGAGACCAGGATGATGGGATGATTGACAGCAGGTGAACTGACCAGGAGGTGGGACAGACAGGAGAAAAAGTGGCAAACTGCAGATCCTGAAAGTTTGTTGTTTAAGTTCAGAGGATTAATGACTCATTTTGTACAAGACATCATAATAATATTTGACATATTATACTTATCATTTATTGCAGTTTGGATTGTATCAAACAATCATTTATCTTCCAGTTCATATGGAATCTTACTGTAGGTTTATGACCCTCAAAGGTGGAGTGAGCGATTCTAATCCACTTCATGTCACATTCAGTGAATATCTCGTCATGGTTCTCTAACTGTCTGCCACAGGGGGCATTCATCCTTGTGCACGAGGGCAGGAGGGAAGATCGAGGAACA